TGTTTGGCCCTTGTGGTCTCTTCCAACTCTATGATTCTATGAACCCAGGTTCATCCTGGATTATTTTCATTGTGTGAATAGGGCCCAAGACCACCTGTCCTCAACAGACGTGCTCCATTCTTGCAGACTCAGGGCAGTGTCTATCTATCTGAAATGTGGTATTTTTCTTTTCCTGCTGCCCTCTACCTTAACCTACCTTAAAAGTGGAATTTTAACAAGATAAAAGCATCTTCATCTGGTATGCATCACAGTGTCCTGTCTGTCCTACTGCTGCCTTGCATTCAAATTGTTACTGTAGCACACCTTTTAATTGATAGGCAAAACCTGTCAATATATTCTGAATCTCACTGAAGTTCCATTATTGTCTCTGTGCAATAAGTTCCTTCTGCTGCAGTTCCACTTCTTATGAAGCCATGAGGTGTGAGTGGGCATGACTCTGCTCCTCTGCCCCACTCCTGCTCACAGTGATTGTGGCTGCCAACAGCTTCCCACAGCCGGCTTCTGTGTGCACATTCACAAAGCAGCAAACTTCACGAGGTAGTTGGCATCTGCAATTGTTCATTCCCGTCATCTGGGCAATGGTCTTCTCATATTCAGCCACAATCTTCCTCATTTGCACCTGCAATTTTTTGCCCAGGGCTGCTGTGTGAATGTGCACAGAGCAGCCCTGTACTTCAGGGGAAGGAGCGGTCGCAGCTACCAGCCACTTTCCGAAGCCGGTTGCTGTGTGCACACATAGAAGCCAACTTCAAGAGGCTGTTGGCAGCCATAATCACTCATTCCTACCCTTCCTTCTGGAAGGCAGCGCTTGGCACTGTGGAAATCAGACCACAAGAGCATGGATCGCCAAAGCGCTATCATGGGGAAAAGTGTGCTAAGAAATTATGCCAGTCTTCAAATGCCAATGCTTCCTTTAAACCAACGTGATTGTGGCGAGGCAGCAGGCTGGTGGTATAAAGTCCTTAGACTGATACAATTATGTTGTATACCCTTTTGTTTCTGAAATTATTTGCCAGTCTCACATAGAAGTGTAATCCAGTGGTGGTTTATTTTTTGCATAATTTCCATTAACATGTTTTGTTTTTTTTAACCCCACTCCAGTTCAGCAGGACATGCATGAGAAAACTACCTGGTGGATTTAATCCCTACATGCTTTAAGACTTTCTTTGGAATGGTGTGAGCTAGTATTTGTGTGCCTGCCAGGAAGGATTTATTAAACCGTTAAGAGCAAGAAACTGTTCTATTACAGAACATTAACTACAAGATGCATAAATTAGCATTCATTCTAGAGGGTAGGAGGGGGGTCTGATATTAAGTTGAATAGCCTTAATTGTGCATTCATCCTTATTTGGCGTTGGCTACAAAAGGCATTGCATTTCAAAGGCTTAATCACAACAGCTGCTTTCAGTTTGGTTTACTTAATAAACCAATTATCTAAACAATCTCATCAGCAATTAAAGGGAGATGTAAAACTAATCCTGTTAAAACAGTTGTGCCTTGATATTTTTA